CACCAGTATTTCTACCAAGTACAAGGTCAGTTGCATATAACGCAGCGGAAGTACTGTATTTTCGCTATCTGGACACCTAAAAGCATACATATGATCCACGTAAATAGAGACGGCGCGTTTTGGACAAATCATATGGAACCTTTCCTAACGCGTTTCTACGAAGAATGCATGCTTCCGGAAATATTGGACAGCCACCACAATAGACACATGCCTATTAGAAATCCAGAATACATGCTACGGGCAAAAGAAGACGCATCAATTCAAAAATCTAGTAGAAAAATCGCAAAGAAACGTACATATGAAAACATGATGCAGAACAGTGTTGAAGCATCAAATATGACCGTTGAAGCAGTAACGAGCGAGTGTATCATTGTCAGTCATTCAGACCAAGAAGAAAACTTCATAGATGATGATGTAGGATACTATATATTGGAGACTGCTGTTTCTTCCGTAACTGACGTACAGAAAAATGTACTACCTGTGCAAAGTAAATTAAACGATGAATCGTTAGATCGATTTTTGCGTGTCGTCAGAGAAAGTACTCCTTTTGAAACGCAAAGTGTCCTATACTTACAGTTTACAAAATTTATCAAGCCCTGCTGTAGTGACAAAAGCGTGCAAATAATTGGAGGCAACTGTTCTGATCACTGGCGAAGTATCTATTTTGATGGCCGCAAACTCTATGTATACGACAGTTTACCTGGCAGTGCATACGACAAGCTCGCAGAGGAAGAAAAAATATATATTGCATTACGATTTCCTCATATTCGCAAAAAGGATATACTTTTTGAAAGGGTTCAGGCGCAACCAGATTGTTACAGTTGTGGTGTATACGCGGCGGCATATATCACTACCATAGTTTTGGGTGGAAACCCTTGCTCAGAAAACTATTCCCATGACGTACAGCGCCTGAGACGTCACTTTGTGAATATTATTGAAAATAATATACTCTTGCCCTTTCCGACAAAATAAGAGAATAGTAATATATGCACTGTTGGAGCATAGGTATACGTACACTAAAATCTCGGTTAGTGCATTCGTAACTGAATACGAACTCGAACCGTGTACAGAACACGTTTAGTGAATGAGTTTGGATCGCGTATGATGAACCGTGTACAGCACACGTTTAGAGAATGAGTTCGGCTCGCGTTTGATGAACCATGTACAGAACACGTTTAGAGAATTAGTTCGGCTCGCGTTTGATGTGGTGACAGCCGAGAATCGACGCAGAGTACAGGAAAAAAAGCATGTTTTACCCGTATACGTGTGAGACAATACTAACGCAATCAAAATAAAACCTTTTCATTTTGAAAATGTTACTAACGTATTTGTGAGATTTTTCAGATTAGAAAAAGATCAAACATGACATAATTTGAATTATAATTATTTATTTACTTATTTATGTCTAAATAAGTAAAAATAATGCAAATTATATGGTGTTTGGTCTTATTTTAATCAGTAGAACCTAATAATTACATTGCTCAAAGTTTCATTTAGGAAAAATGAAAAATAAAAAAGTTATTGTTGAATTAATATTGTCTCACTCAATAAATCCAGGATTTTTTGTGCCGCTGAAATGAAATAATGAATAGTACATATAATAAAGGTGATCGCTGTATGTATTTCCTTTCTAGACAGTAATGGTCAGTATGCGAGTGTGGGAGAGAGAGGATGTGTGCGAAAGAGAGGAATAACAAAGTGTGAATGTCGGTGACGAGCGGGTCAAAGCAATATTTCAAAACCATCAAAAAACTATCGATATAACACATTGAATTCTGCCTATAGATGTGCATCTGCGACAACACATGTATAAGTGTTGGTTGCCATCCGCTGGCCAATTGGCTTCTGTTTAGAAAGAAGGTCGGAGACCATAAAGGCTACGTTCATAACTGCATATACGAGACTTCAAGAAATGTGTATGTACTGAAATTCAATTAGAAGTAAATATTATTGATGTGATGGGTTAGAATTCGACTGCCGTAAAGCGGCTGGCAACGTTTTTTTATTTCTTGGAGTCTGGTATATGCAGTTGTGAACGAAACCTTTACTCTCGCTCGATCCTCGTTTCTAAACCGAAAAAAGTGGCAAACAATCTGACGCATATGTATGCTGTCACAGATCAACAACTATAAGCAAAATTCAATGCATCTATATCGGCAGCTTTTTGCGAATATCTCTGAAACTAAGCGAGAACGCTCCTTATATGTATAATAATTTTTATAACATATCCAAAAATCATCGAAATCGGGAAGGACGTATTTGTTCTGTAGTTTCACCGAAAAAAAGAATAATAATAGCAACAAAAAATAATGATAGTACATCTCCTGACACGTGGGTTGAAAATCGATATCGTAATCGATAGAACGTCGCGCGAAAAAGAAATTCACGCGTCGGAGTTCATCGCCTCTTCCAGGCTCGAACTTCACATTCTCCACGATACATTGTATCGTCGTCGACGGTTCGGTCGACGCACCCATATTAACATATATGAGCTGCGAATGAGCGCGCGCGATCGAGCGCAGAAAACGAACGAACTGCGCCCTACAGAAAAAACGAGGAACTTTTGTGGTCTGTTTTACCTTTTTGACGTTTTTCGCGAGTGAAAATCTTATAACACAAATTTCGTCTACCTCGAGGCTTGTACATCATCCCTTGGGTGCTCGTTTTGTTCTATCCGCCCCAAAGAAGGGCACTCTGGTCTCTATTTGGACATACGATTCGCAAAAATGTTTATATTACGAATAAATTGATGCAGGTGAGTCCGATCCGCCATTTTCTTCACCGTTGACAGACATAAATTTCAATTTTTTATAACTTTTTGACGTTTTGGATAATATAAGGACCAGCGCGCCATTCCTTAGGGCCTCCTGAATACGTCCCTCAAATTTTGTTGCATTCGGTTCAGTAATGACGACGTAATTTGTGTTTAAATACATCACCTAGGAAATGTATGAATGACATAACACCTTCACCCAAATATTATACATAGATTTCTTAACAATCAACGTTGCATCGAAAATTAGACCGAACAGAAACTGATTTCAGCGCCATCTCAGTATGGTAGTGATATATGCCGCCGCGTATACACCACAACTGTAACAATCTGGTTGCGCCTGAACCCTTTCAAAAAGTATATCCTTTTTGCGAATATGAGGAAATCGTAATGCAATATATATTTTTTCCTCCTTTGCGAGCTTGTCGTATGCACTGCCAGGTAAACTGTCGTATACATAGAGTTTGCGGCCATCAAAATAGATACTTCGCCAGTGATCAGAACAGTTGCCTCCAATTATTTGCACGCTTTTGTCACTACAGCAGGGCTTGATAAATTTTGTAAACTGTAAGTATAGGACACTTTGCGTTTCAAAAGTCAGACACCCATGCTGGCGACTACCGATCATTTTCCAATCGCGAAAAACACATTCAATACCTCGCGCATGATTGTCGAACGTTCTATGTATTTCATTCCAAAAGAACTGAACGTCAACAATGCGGCGGCCATCTGGCACATTTTCCGAAATACGTCCCATATCTTCGTGTCCGACGTCTACGACGAGATTGTCGTCGCTATCGTCCAGGACGTTTTGTACTACTACAGTGGGTCTCACACTTGTAGAATCGCATTGTACAACGACAGTTTCGTCGTTTTCGCGAAGGACGTTTTGTGATATGCGCCCAAAATCTTTATTTGCGAATAGGACGTTTTTCGATTTTGAGATGCGCCCCGCATCATCTTTATTTTCTGCGAATAGGATGTTTTTCGATTCTGGGATGCGCCCCGCATCATCTTTATTTTCTGCGAATAGGACGTTTTTCGATTCTGGGATGCACCCCGCATCATCTTTATTTTTTGCGAATAGGACGTTTTTCGATTCTGGTATGCGCCCCGCATCATCTTTATTTTTTGCGAATAGGACGTTTTTCGATTCTGGGATGCGCCCCGCATCATCTTTATTTTTGAAATATTTGTCTTCGAAAACTGCATCAGCTTGAATCGTCGTTGTCGACGATTCCCATTCTTTCCGTCGCCTGCAAAGTAAAACGAATGTAGGACAATTCACACAAGTTACTGAAATGTACATATAAATTGTTAGCACTTACAGTTTTCTGTAAGCTTTTTTGAGGGAGAGTCTTCTCCTGGTATTTTTTTTATTTCCCATTTGTGGTTATCTTTTTCACAAATGCTTGAAAATTTTATCAATAATATATATGTATGTATGTCTTCTATACGAAGATGTCTTATATATATGTATGGCTTCTATGCGAAGAGGCCTTTTTGTTAGAAATAAATAAATAACAACGACAGCCATGGCAACGCTCTAAAAAGAAAGGAAACGCCAACGCGCTCTCGTTTTCCAATTTCACTGGCGTCGTTGAACTTGGACCGTACACAAGGTCTCTGAGAAAGTGAACAGAAAATGGAAAAAGGCGACAGTAAGTGTTTCTTGTTTTCTTTACTTCGCGAGTGTCATTGACAATTATAATAAGGTGACCATTTGTACCAAAAATATTTTTTGCTTTGTCTCATATACAATGGGTTTATGTGAGCCTATAATGAAAATTTAAAAAATGTCTTTCGTAGATTCAAATGAGTTATGTGCATGGTTTTAATATTTCATCGAGACCGGTAAATGCATTTAAAAGTTACAATTAAAATTTCCGAGAATCGCAATCTAAGAACATAACTAGTCACGTTCTTAGATGAAAAGCCACGATTTTCAGAAATTGTAACTTCTCAGTGCATTGACCGATCTCAATGAAATTTTCAGCATACACATAACATATTTTTTACACATGTCATATTTTACATTTTCATCACAGGCTCAAATAAAAAAATTAAAAAATTGCCTTTTCTAGACTCGTGTCCACAAGATAAAAGCGGTGATCTCCAACCGCAACCGCAACCACAACCGGAGCCGCTGTTGCAGCTGCAACAGCAGGTGCAGCAGTTGCGGTTGCAATCAGAAGTTGTACCGCAACCACTGTTGCAGATACTGTAGATGCAGCAGCAGCAAATGCTGCAGATGCAGCAATTGCTGCAAAAAATAGAACAGGCTCAGTATATCGCAAGTCGTTTTTGTACGTTCCTGTTTATACGTTATTTCTGCTATTCTTTGTTTACACATAATAACATAATATTTATTTTTGCAGCCGCCCCCAGTACCACAGCAACAGCCGCAAATACAACCGGCAGTATATACAGTAAGTCCTTTTTTTGCGTTCCTCTTTATACGTTATTTCTGCTATTCTTTGTTTACACATAATAATGGAATATTTATTTTTGAAGCCGCCCCCAGTACCACAGCAACAGCCGCAGAAACAACCGGCAGGACATACAGTAAGTCCTATTTTTCGCGTTCATGTTTATACGTTGTTTCTGCTATTTTTTGTTTATATATAATAATATAATATTTATTCTTTCCGTAGCCGTATCAACCGTACGTGTCACAGATGAACGAGCTGTATGAGCCTGAGGTGCAAAACGTAAATAGTTTTTTTACTTTCCTGTTCGTACGATTTTTCTGGTATTCATTGTTTATGAATAATAACATAATATTTATTTTTCCAATCATACAGAACAAAAAAGCAGCTCATTCGTCAATATAGAAGAAAGTTGAATAAGCTGCGGCGCGAAACAGCGCCACCGTCCAGCCGCGGTCGCGGAATTGGCAGGGGAGGCGGACGTGGTCGCGGCTGTAATGGCCGCAACATAGCGTTTTATTTTTAAATTTTTCTTCTTATTATTATTATATTATTATATTATTATTATATTATTATTATATTATTATTATATTATTATTATATTATTATTATATTATTATTATATGATTATATTATTATATTATTATTATATTATTATATTATTATCTTCTTCTTATTATTATATTATTACTCTTATGTTATTATTCTTATTATTATTATTTTATTTCATGTTTTTTATTTTTTGTATATATTTTTAACTTTTTTATAATTATATAATATTTTCCGCTTCTTATGGTGTAGTCATTTATTCCCCTATTCCTTATCTTCTGTACTGACGAAGTACATGGGTACATTCACGATTTTCTTTCGACGGATAAACTAACTGGCATTCGATTTGTAGGAATTCAGAGTACAATTCTCATATTCCTTATCCTGTGCACTGCCGTCAGTCAAATAAAATATTTTCTTTTTTATTATATATTTTGTTTACAGTTATTTTATACCCGTCCCTTTCCTATATCCCTCCAAAAAGGAAAAGTGTGAATTATGTATATTGTAACGTGGTGACACCCGTGCCCCCCCGTTACAATCGCTGCGCTTTTCCCATTTTACACTTCCACCCCAAAACCACCCGTAACCCTTCCCTCATCTAACCCTTTCCCCCTGCTCACCGGTGGCGGGCCGATGGAGGCGACGGAAGACGTACAAGGAATACCCGCAGAAGGAGCTACGAGGCCGGCGACAGACCTCTACCCTTCCTCCAAGGAAACGGAGCAACATGGGACTCCGAAGAAATAGACGAAGCTGCCCAACTGATGCAAAACGTCCACCCGGAGCCATCTGTCGCCGAGCCCGAAGACCTCAGCCCACCCGTCATCGCGGGATATCCGCCAGCCCCATCGACCCCGAGCACCGGTGTATCGAAGATCGATAATCGATCTATCCCGTTGCCGGAAGAGGCCCCCTTCCTAGTCCCATCCCCTCCCCAAAACCATCCCGCGACGGTTTCGTCGTCGCAGCAGCGACGGCGAACCGTCAATTGAGCCCGAGGCTAGCGTTGAGAGTGATCTGGAGATTTTGGAAAGCGATAGAGAGATTGTAAGAGAGAGAGCGAGGAGTTTTGGGTGAGTCCCTTATCGTAATTATTGTATTAGCGAGATCAAGGCAACGGCTACCTTCTCCGCCCGCGCATTGTTCGACATAGAGACGAGTCCCCCCTTTTCATTTTCCAAACACAAAGTTTTCCTCATTCGCGTAACGTAGACGAACTTTCCTGCGAACCCCTCCCGACCCTAGAGATTTCCCTTCCCACACTAATCCTCCTTGCGTACTCCCCCGCGAAGTATTGTACGGACGTAAGTGCCCCGAGACCCATCCCCTGTAAGACACCCCCAATCACCCCCTTTTCCCTTTTGATTCAAATCGCCACAGCGAGTGGCTGGCGCCCAACGTTTGTGAGAGAGAGAGAGAGTTGTAGAGTAAAGTCTGCGACAAGGAATTTTGTATAGAGTGAACCCCCGAAGAGGGTCACAAATTTGGCGCCCAACGTGGGGCCAGGAAAATAATAAAAAGTTCATAAACTCTCGCGTTTGAGAAAATTTCTTCGTGATTCCGCCGTTAAAGACCGAACATTCCCGAAATTACGACGCAGAAGATAACCGTTGCCGAGAGCCTCTTGTTGCCGTTTTTTTTTCAAGTGTCGACGGTCGAACGCGGCGTGGTGTTTGAAATCGGATCCTCGAGCGTCCTAGAGAATAATAAACACTCCGTAACCGACACGTGCGCCGTTTTCGACCTAACCGTCCTATTGTTGAAATTTGCGAAACCGAATTACTATCTGTGCCGAAAATATATTTCTCTTGTGTGCCCTCCCAAATTCAAAAGTTATTGCTCGCGGTTTGCCGATATCGAGGGCCCGGTCGTGCCTTTGCCGACCGTGAGCACTCTATCGAGCCTCTATCGATTTTGGATTTTCTTTTTTTTCAGCCCCTTTTTTTTTATTATTGATTATCGACCATCGCATACTGGGTTTCCCCGATTCTGCAATAAAGCCGGAAACTGTTGTATTGAGTTGCTTGTTTTCTTCCCATCGCATTCCCTCTTTTCTTTCAGGATCCTTAAACTTTTTTTTGGTTTTTTCTCCCCCGTTTTTGATATTATCGTCACTCCGCGGAGAGTATTACCGAAACCGCGAGTATGGATTCGGTCGAGGCCCGCCAGATGCGGGCGCATATCGGCGATTTACAAATTATAGAATTAATAAGATTGATGGACCACGCGCATTTAAATTTGTATGGTACTCTGGACGACCTTCGCGACCGCTATTTAAGGGCGGAGGTCCGTCGTGTCCATGGCCCGGACGCTGCGCCCTGGGACATGACGAACGACACTGCAGGTGAGAGTCTCCCGTTCACCCTTTCCTCGGCGTGGGTAGCCCCCTCCGCCGACGATCCTCCTCCCGAACCTTCCCCGGATTCCCCTCCAGATCCAGGTGACGAACCTGGCGAGGGAACCGATCCACCCACCTTTGGAATCTCCCCCGATTCTTTCCCCGAATTACCGCACACCTCCTATATCCCCAATCCCGCCACAATGGCCTCCACGGCCACCCCGGCGACCACTACCACCACTATCACCTCCATCTCCCATCCGATCCCGGCACCGACTCTGCTGATCGACCTTGACCAGTCCCCTAATAACGACCAACGGCGCGACCGGGTAGCGTTCGCGCCGGCGCCGGTCGAAGGACGCTCGAACCTTGCACCTCAAATCCCCTCCAACCCCCAAAACAACCCTTTTGATAATCCTCCCGCAATACAATCTCCCCAATTCCCGTCCCGTGATCCCTTCTCCCGCTCTTCAGATTCTTCCCATGCATATCGTCATGACCAAGGAGTTATCCCACCCTCCTTGAGTAGCACCCGTATCCCCTTCCGTGTCCCTGAGCCTCCAATTCCCCACTCGTCCCGGTGGTCTAACCATATTCCAGCCCCGAGCCAAGACACTCGGAATTTCACTTACTCCCTGCCGAACCCATCAAACTACCCGCCTGGCCCACTCCCTCTCCCTTGCCCGTCATTGCCACCCCCACCGCGCGTCCAAACCTCCCTATCCCGCACGAACCCCTTCCACCCCTCAGCCAGCGAGTCCCGGGGTCCCCGGCGAGGGGCGGGAGATTGTCGCGCTTCCGAGCTTTTCCGGAAGTGGCGGATCTCCTTCGCGGGCGATCCCGGGGAGGACGGAGAGGGGTTCCTTGAAACCCTGGCGGAGTATGCAAGCGGGAATGGGATCACGGAGGACGAGATGTTGAGGGTAATCCCTTTCGTCCTCACGGGTTCCGCGCGGGTTTGGGCGCGCGGGCAAGCCGGGTGTTGGACGACCTACGAGGAGTTTCTAGAAGATTTCCGCCTCCAATTCGTGCCGACAAACTATCAGGACCGGTTATGGTGGGACATAATTACGCGTACCCAGGGAGGACAAGAAACCCTGGCGGAGTACTTACGGAAATTACAAATGATGTTTGCTCGCGCCGAACCTCTCATTCCCGAGTGCGAGCGACTGGCCATCGCGAAACGAAACCTTCACCCCCGATACAAATACGTCGTCGATTTCCACCCTCCCCAATCCTTCCGAGACCTCCTTAAACTAGGTGCCTGGGTAGACGAGGCCCAGCGGCACACCCGCGACTATCGGGAACCACCACCAGCGGAAACATCCCTTATCCCTGAATGCGGGTACGTACCACCGAAAGGTAGTAAATCCAAGCTGGCGGCGGCGGCAGAGACCGTCCCGTCATCCTCGAACCGTCCTAAATCTCGCAATTCCCCTCCTAGACCTACAACCCCTCCCAACACACCCCCAAGGACCCGACGGCCGCTCCCTGGGCCACGGGCCCCTCCTACCGCGCCACAGCCGTCCCGAGGAAATCCTTATCTTTCTCAGGATTCCAATATACCCCGATCTTCCGCCCCATATCGTCCCCCCACACCTCCTCCTCCCCTTACGATTACAGAAATCCCCAGCTTGATGTCCCTTCCTATGGTCCCACCTCCAGCCGGTTATCAAATCCCCACATCCACACAAACAGCGACCCCCAACCGCCCTACTTCCTATGCCCAAGCGACTTCCGGTCCCCGACAACCACCTCCTCGCAACGTAGCTCCACCAGACCAATCCTCTCCCCCCGGCCAATGTTGGAACTGTGGCCAACCGGGACACTGGTTTGGCTCTTGCCAACGGCCGAGGAGGAAATTCTGCTTCCGGTGCGGAACGTTCGACGTAATCGCACCGGAGTGCCCGAATTGCTTGTCGGGAAACGCACGCGGAGGTCGGCGGTAAGGGTCGACGCAACCTCCCCGAAACCACCGATCCACCATCCCGGATCCCGTGTGGGACATACACCAACATTCCTTCCAACCGCCCCTATCCCCACCCCAACGAAACCCCTCTCGGCAGAGTCCCGTACAGAACCCTACCCAGGCGATAATCGCATTTTCCTCCCCGTGCAACACGGGAAATACCTCTTCCAAGCCCTCCTAGATACAGGCGCAACCCATTCTTATGCAGGTCCCAGAATCGCTCAACTATTTGCATCCCACCTGACCCCCTCCCAAGCCTGTATGATCCTAGCCAACAACGTGACAGAGAGAATCCTCGGAGAAGTCACCGTCGCGATCCAGATCGATGACGAAATCCATAACCTCCCCCTCCGCGCAAGCGAGTCATTGGGGTATGAGGTCGTCCTGGGAATGGACTTTATCACTCGATTTGGAGTAACCATCGACGGAGATCTAAGGTCGTGGCGGACCCCGAAGGGACCTCGTCACCCCTTTTACCCCGAATCCGTAACCCACCCCTTTCCCATGAATCCCGCCTGCGCAGGGCTCTCCGAAGCAAGTCCCGAGGAAATCTCGGGAGTTCGAACCCTGCTTGACCACCTCATTCCACCCCCATCCAGCACCTTAGGAACCACCCC